TAATAAGGGCGCTGGAGGCCAGGATAGACGAGGTTTTGCGTTGCCTACAGGCGGACGCGGTGGTGGACAAAGATTTGGCGGTGGAAACCCTGGAGGCGCCTTTGGCGGAGGGGGAATGCAAAACAATGGCGTTCCACAAAACAACATTGAAAGCCTCTTCAGTAGGAGGAACAACAACGGCCCAAATATGTTAGTATCGAACTTTTAGGGTTCCTGGAAAACAGCTATGTATAAATTTAAAACTTTCTGATTTTGAGTAGACCTGGAAATAATATGCCGGCGCAGGGCGGATTTCAAGGCGGCTTTGGCAACAATCGCCCTGGTGGACCACCAAATGCAGGTGGACGCGGCGGATTTAGACGTGGTGGTGGTGGTGGTGGGGGCATGGGTGGAAGCGGTAATGAAGGTTTTTCTGCGCCAACCAATTACAACAGTAATTTCCCACCTCTTGGCACACAAGGTGGTGGTGGCCGTGGCGGAGGTCGCGGAGGTGGGGCCGGTGGACGTGGTGGCCGAGGTGGCGGAATGCAGCGGTAAGTTTAATGTTAGAATCTGATGGCGTTTTATTAGTTAAACTGTTGTTAATTTTTTTATATTTTTATATTTTTTTTTGAGCTTTGCACTACGATTGTTTATTAGGAAAAATTGAAAAAGCTCAATAAAAAAATTAAATTTTAATAAGCCACAATAACATTGACAAATACGTTGTTAATTTATTTGCAACTAAGCCGCAGAATTGATTATTTAAGCCCAAAATGTCAAATCAAAGTAGCGATTCTGGTAACAGCATAAATTCCATAATCAGTTTGGATATTGCTACTGGCGTGGCAGTCTATGCCCATGGCCAGATGTAAATCTGTGTTAATGCGGTTATGTAAACCCGACAGTCGTTGGACTGAAAAACGTGGGGTCGTTAACAGCTTTTAATTTTTAGCTCCTTTAATAACTAATGGTTTTGTAGACTTGATGTAGGGAAAGCACCAACTTGACGTTAGTGGTGGTTGTTGTTGTAACAGCAGAAAATTAACAAATAGTATTTGTGGTAACTGATGGAGTGAAACTCTAGGCGCGTTATACTCTGGGGGATCCGCTTACGGAGCCCAACCTGTCGTGGAAACGTGTAGTGATTTTGGGGAATTGGAACTTAAGTAAAATCGTACAGACACAAATTGCGGCCCCAGTTTACATTTGAATGTGTATATAAAAGAATTAATGCGTACCCTAGGTTTAATATGTACTTAATTTGCTTCGATGCATTATCAAATCTTTTTAAAATATATTTTATAATTTCTCTCACATACAGCAATGGCCCTCGTCAAAATATGATGCCCAATCAACAACGCTTTTGAAAAACTTGTAACAACTTAAATTAATGCGAGTACACCAATGCGTTAATCTTGAGTAGACAGTGTGGAATGTGTGTGTGTGTTTCTGTTATGATAACGAAATTATAACGAAGCATAACGAAACGTCCGAATGCGAAAACTTTGATGCGCAAAGTTCAAAAGCAAACCACACATAATTTAGTTATTAATGCGAAATCAAACAAACTATTGCAATTTTATAATAACTTAAAACAAAAAGCTAGTTTATAAGCAGCACCATAGTATGCCGACATTACGTCGCAAATATTACCAATCAAGTGTAAAATAAAAATTCTAAATATTACAAAAAAAAAAAAAAAAATAACAAAGTGAATTAGGAAAATGACAAGTTTACAGACAACT